ATAAAATACCGTATGAGTGGATATAGAAGAATCCAAATCTGCCAAATGATTCATGTTCTATATCTAAGTTCTTTTTTTTCATTAAAAAAAAAGAAATAAATATTTATTAATTTTTTTTTTATGAACCATTATTATTAGTCTCACTAGTATTCATGAACTAAAAGAAACTTAAAAAATTACTTTCAACTTAAAATACTTTTGGCTACAGTAAATAGTACAATTTGTCTTATAACAATGTAAATTCAGGGAATATGGGCTTTTTGACCACTATAGCCTTTTTTTAATAATTAATTATCAAATTGACCCTGTTTATAAACTATTTCAAAAATTTAACCTCTTCAGAAAACATAACACCAATCTGCCCCTGTTTGACCGTTGACCATGAAGCCTACCCGGGTACACCCCTCCCTACCCGGGTATATTCTGAAGTTTTTTACATACCCGGGTACACCCCTCCCTACCCGGGTATATTTCTTGAATCTAGAAAAAGTTTAAATTATTTACCCGGGTAGGGAGTGGTGTACCCGGGTAAATAATTCAAAGTGTTGTAACTGGCCATTCCTTTGGGATTCTTCGTAGCCAAGTCTCGTGTTGTTGCCATCTCCAACAGGGAAGATCAAGGGTCCTACATTACTGACAAAATTTTAACTGTTCTCTACTCTATATGCTTGTCATGCATATAGATAATGAGTGGTCCTATATGCTCTGGATTTTCTAGCTTGTTCTTTTGAGTTTGAAGCCTTTCTTTTAATGGTTTATGTAAATGAGGGATAGAAAAACAGAGGGCTTAAGTAGGAGACAAGAAAGAGGGCATGGTAGGTACCTCAGTCTCCATTCTGCCACCCACAAATATCATCATACTTTCACAAAAAGCTTGGTCTCTGATCTCTTCAACAGACCTCGCAAAGCTCTCTCTCCTCACCTCAGAGTTGATATAGGCATATAGCAATTGTGTATTCCATAAAAAATTCACTTCTCAGTTTTCAGATCTCGACCACAACTCAGTTTGCACAGATCTCAATAGCAAGGAATGCAAGCCCAAATTATTATGCCAAATTGGCACTGATTGCAAGTGGTTCTTATTCTTCCATTATCCCCTAATTCAAATTAAGAATCCACACTTTTCAAGATTACAAGCAAGTATGAATTATTTACCCGGGTACACCACTCCCTACCCGGGTAAATAATTCAAACTTTTTCTAGATTCAAAAAATATACCCGGGTAGGGAGGGGTGTACCCGGGTATGTAAAAAACTTCAGAATATACCCGGGTAGGGAGGGGTGTACCCGGGTAGGCTTCATGGTCAACGGTCAAACAGGGGCAGATTGGTGTTATGTTTTCTGAAGAGGTTAAATTTTTGAAATAGTTTATAAACAGGATCAATTTGGTAATTAATTATTAAAAAAAGGCTATAGTGGTCAAAAAGCCGGAAATATGAGCCCAAATCTTAAAGGCGTAATAGACAAGTATTACACCACAAGGTCAAAATCACTTTTGAATTAAGTTATTATGATCAACTTCTTTTGTTCTTCAAGACTGGAGTTGCAGGAAAAACTGCATATGCACGAGCTTCAAGCACTAGTATTTCAACATTTTGAAATGGAAAGTGTTCGAGGAGGATTGAATGCGAAAGGGAGAGCCTTCTAGTTAAAACGATGCAGGCTATTGAAAGTTTGACTAAGCAATACATGTACTTGCCTAAGCTTAGAATAATGTCCTTAACATAGAATATAGAATATATTAATGAAATGGTAACTTTCATAACCACTACTTGACATTTCCATTGCCACTAATCTCAGTTGGTTCATGATTGCCCCGTGAGAATTGACCACCTGAGGCGAAATTGGACTAACAAGTTTCGACTTTGATCCCGAAATTTCATGTGCATGGGGTTACTTTACACAAATATTTGGTGAAAATTTTCTCAAGATGTTATAATTGTAGATGATCTAATTTAAGGTGGAGGAAATCATAGACACCTTCTATGGTCCAACTTCTGTCTCTTTCCCTTTGTATTCCAAACGGAAAATATTTTTCAAATTATAAGATCATCCACCAATAGGAATTGGACGCGATAAGAAACGAAACTCAACTTTTAAAGGAAAATTAAAATGTAAATAACATGTGACAAGGAGATATTTGGATTTTCTCAGCTGATTAATTAATTGACTAATTTAATTAAGTCAGGCAGAATGATAAAGGTAGTCAAAATCGGGATTTTACCTAAAATTGGAAAGGAAATAAAAAATCGTAAATCGTAAAATCGTAATACAAATCGTAGATTTTACCAGCACTCTAAAATTAAATTTTTTTATACATATGCTTATGTATAAAAAAAATTAAGAAAAATAGACTACCTGTCACCATCCTTATACATAGGGGTGTAAATGGGCTGGGCTTTGGCCATCTTGGCCCAAGCCTACGTAAAAAAAAATTCAGCCTATTTGGCCTACTGGCCTATTAAAGGCTTTATTTGTAGGCCAAGCCCGACCCATTTTCAAAAATAAGAAAGTCTGACATGGCCTACAGGCCTTGTAGGCCTCCCACTATATATACTACGCAAAAAAAAATAATTGTATAGAGCAAAGAAAGTTCCATTCATGCATGCACTAGTACTTCTTATAAGAAAAAAAATAACAAACAAGAAATAGTCAACATAATATCTCAGCTCTAGAATGTATATCATAGAGGAATAGAGTCAAAGAAATGGGAAAAATAAGAAAAATACAATTACTGGATGCTGAAATAAAGTCTACAAGAGAATGTCATTCATCTAAAAATCTTTAAACCACCATCAAGACAAGGGAAAGAAGAGTATTATTGAAAGATCTTCATCAGTAACATCATAATCCAGCAAGGTACCCATTGCTCCATGGTATTAAGCTGCAACAAGATGTAAAATTTGGAGACACTAGACAAGTTTTCCTTTCATAAAATAAAATAGCACAAAAAGTAAGAGATATTGATATTTGGTACTGTGTCTTTGTCACATAAAATAAATATTATTTTATTATTTTAATAAATTAAATAGGCCAGCCTACAAGGCTGTAGGCCGGGCTTGACAAAATTGGCATATGGCCTATTTATTAAAAAAACTTTTTTATAAGCCTAAGCGTACTCTACTTTTTTGAAAGGCTGGGCTCAACGTAGGCCGGGCCAGCCTGGCCCATTTACACCCCTACTTATACATTTGCATACAATTGTCACACTCTAAGGGTCTAAGCTAATAAATCATTCAAGTTATTATCATCGAAGACATTCTGTTCCACGTGATCTTCAACTACATCATTCAAAATTGTCTTCATCTAAACTTTCATCATGAGATAAAGTTCCTTCATTTTCCACAATCCATTCATCTTCGGATGAAACATCAACAATGTTATATTCAACAATTTTTCTAACTTGCTTAACATCATTCCAATAGTTAAAATCGAGATTTAAATCTTAAAATCGGGACTTAAGTAAATGTCTAAATCGAGATTTTATATTGGAAAAGATTTTAAGTGAAATCTAAATCGTTTTAACAAAAATAAATCGTTAAAATCGAGATTTTAAAATTTAATCCAGATTTTAACTACCATAATAAAGATAGCAAAACATTTCCTATCAAAATTTACTCAAACTAAAAGATATTTACAAATAACATAACAATAAAAGTTGACTCATCCCCAAAAAAAAAAAGTAACTATGGTTGGTCAAGTTTAAAATTGAATGAAATGAACGAGAATAAATAAAATTAAAGTAATAGCAATTCAAGTTTATTTAGATCTAAATTGGCTAGATCGCATGCAAGCACGAAAATACTATAAAAACATGTATTGGACAAAAACTATATTACCTCCATCGTATAATACCTTTATTTAGTGAATGATATTAGCAACTACATAGATTATTATGCCAAATCTTAATAGTGATGCATACTCAAATTATTAAAAATGCTAGTGTCATACATGGGCTAGCATAATAAGCTCTTCTTTTTGGACGGAAGCATAATCACCTCTCTTTTTTTTTGGGTACAATATAATCACCTCTTTTAAGTCCTAAGAAAGCATAATCACTAACTGGTTACCAATGGTAGAAAAAAGAAGATTAAGAGATGGACCCGCCAAAATCCCTTTGACCGGAAAGATCTAGCCGTTGCACTCATCTTAGAAAACAGAATTTCTAAGCCCACAAGAAATTGTGGCAGCAATTTGTTTTGATCATAGCTCCTGATTTACTTAAACGGTAACGAAACCACATGCTAATTTATGTCTCTAATCTCAACCAGTAAGTATATTATATTTGAACACAAGGAATGTTATATTTATTATTATTTTAGCTTTACAATTTTTATTACTTAATTGATTATCGTTGAATCAATTTAAAATCAATAGTAATTAATTTTTTTTTAAACGTTGATTTCAAATTGATTCAATAGTATCTAATTAAATAATAAGAATAGTAAGATTAAAATAGTAATAAATATAATCACCCTTTGAATATCAATTCAACTTTTGTTTATGGAAAAAATGACAAGATGATATTCACTTGTGCTGACTAAACTTTCTGGTGTTTTTCTTTCTTTTTGGGTCCAAGTTCAGTTTTTTGACGTTCAGGATTAACACAATCAATTGATTTAACTGAAATCAAATATCCGGATAATCAATATTAGTGCATGTTAGATTCTTTACACTAGAACCAAAAAAAAAAAAAAACAATGATTGTATGTCCTATCTAGTGTGTAATTTTAACAAACCTAGCTAGCTATCCAGTGGAAAATTTCAGCAATGGCCATCACAATATTATTATGCATTTAAAATCAGTCGTGTTTGAACGAAACTCTTTTACTTTAATCAAGTTGATTGTTCATCATTTTCATACTAGTCTAATTGAAGTTAACTGTTAGTGCTTTTCTATACACCCTTTATTTTTCCTGTGATTATATTAATATATAAAACTGCATTGACAAACATGTTAGATACAAGTTAGTAACAGTCACATTCACGAACATGTATGTTTCGCCATGAATTCCCGGCAAAATCCCCAACCGGAGCTTCGGACACGTACATCTGCAATGTCCAAAATACCCCTCCTCATTCTGAAATTCCCAGTTCATTTGTTCCTCTTGCTCATCGTCGCAGTACCCTCCCAAGTAATTTCTCAACCCACAAGTACCGAACAAACAATCCTACTCACCCTCAAACGCCAACTGGGGGATCCACCAACGCTCCCATCATGGAAACCCTCATCGTCCTCGCCGTGCGACTGGCCGGAGATCCGGTGCACCGGCGCCGCCGCCACCGAGCTCCTCCTAGCCGGCAAAAACATCACCGTCCAGAATCTCCCGGCCACAATCTGCGACCTCAAGAACCTGACCAAGCTTGACCTCTCCGACAACTCCATCGCCGGCGAGTTCCCGACATTGTTGTACAACTGCTCCAACCTCCGGTACCTCGACCTGTCCCAGAACTACTTCGCCGGCGCAATCCCCGCCGACATTAACCGCCTCAAAACTCTGACGTACCTCAACCTCGGCGGCAACAGTTTCACCGGCGACGTCCCGGCGGCGATAGGGAAGCTCCCGGAGTTGCAAACGCTGCACATCTTTCAGAACAACTTCAACGGAACCTTCCCAAAGGAAATCGGAGACTTGTCCAATCTCGAAATCCTAGGTTTGGCTTATAACGACAAGCTTGCCCCCATGGCGATCCCGTTCGAGTTTGGGAACCTGAGGAGTTTAAAGTTCATGTGGATAACACGGTGTAACTTGATCGGAGAGATTCCAGAAAGTTTGGGGAATCTCACGAGTATGGAGCAGTTGGATTTGTCGCAGAACAATTTGACAGGAAGCATTCCTAGTAGTTTGTTCTCGCTGAGGAACTTGACGTTTTTGTACCTGTACCGTAATAGGTTGTCGGGTGTGCTACCAATTTCGGTGCAAGCCTTGAATTTGACCCAGATTGATTTGGCCACTAACAATTTGACAGGTTCCATACCCCAAGATTTTGGGAAGTTGAAGAATTTGATGATGCTGCACTTGTATTCGAATCAGTTGTCTGGCCAGATTCCAAGCAGCTTAGGACTAATCCCAAGTTTGAAAAACTTGAGGGTTTTTAGCAATAAGCTAAATGGAACACTGCCTCCAGAACTAGGCCTTTATTCGAAGCTTGTTGCTTTTGAAGTTGCTGATAATCAACTCAGTGGTGGGTTGCCAGAACATTTGTGTGCTGGTGGTGCTTTGCGGGGTGTGATTGCTTTTAACAACAATCTAAGTGGAGACTTGCCTCAATGGCTTGGGAATTGTGCTTCTCTTACCACGGTTCAGCTTTACAATAACAAATTTTCAGGGGAGGTTCCTTTGGGTTTGTGGACTTTGAGCAACATATCAACCCTGATGTTGAGCAACAACTCCTTTTCTGGTCAACTTCCAAGTAAACTATCTTGGAATATGTCGAGACTTGAGATCAGGAACAACAACTTTTCTGGTCAGATTTCTCTTGGTATTTCTTCTGCTGTGAATCTAGTGGTTTTTGATGCAAGAAACAACTTGCTTTCTGGTGAAATTCCAAGGGAATTGACTGGTCTTTCACGGCTTACTACTCTCATGATTGATGGTAATCAACTTTCTGGTGCACTTCCATCCGAGATAATCTCATGGCAATCACTGAATACTTTAACACTCTCAAGGAACAAAATTTCCGGCCAAATCCCCGGAGCTATAGGTGGTCTTCCTAACCTTGTTTACGTGGACTTGTCTGAAAATGACATATCCGGTGAAATCCCACCTCAGCTTGCCAATTCGAGGTTTGTTTTTCTCAACTTGTCTTCTAACAAGCTTTCCGGGAACATCCCTGATGAGTTCAATAACCTTGCATATGAAAACAGTTTCTTGAACAATCCTCAACTATGTGCTTACAATCCAAAACTCAACCTTTCGAGCTGCTTGACCAAAACCCTTCCACACTCCACCAATTCCTCTTCGAAATTCCTTGCCCTGATTCTTGCTGTCCCCATCACTGTGTTGCTGGCCACTGCCTCGTTGGCCTTCTATAAGTTGAAAAAGCACTTGGGCAAAAAGCACTGCGGGCGTAAGCTTTCAACATGGAGGCTCACCTCATTCCAGAGGCTTGATCTTACAGAAATAAATCTCTTCTCAAGTTTGACAGAGAATAACCTTATAGGAAGTGGAGGATTTGGTAAAGTTTACCGGATTGCTTCAACTCGTCCGGGTGAGTATGTTGCAGTAAAAAAGATTTGGAATTGCAAAGATCCGGATAACAAGATGGAGAAAGAATTCATGGCCGAGGTTGAAATCCTGGGCAATATTCGGCATTCCAATATAGTGAAGCTTTTGTGTTGTTATTCAAGTGAGAACTCCAAACTCCTTGTTTATGAATACATGGAAAATCAGAGCCTGGACAAATGGCTTCGTAGAAAGAAGAAGCTATCAGCTACTGGGTTGAGTTCACCAAACAAGAATCATCTGGTGTTAAGTTGGCCAACGAGGTTGAAGATTGCCATTGGTGCAGCTCAAGGCCTATCTTACATGCACCATGACTGTTCACCGCCAATCATACACCGAGATGTCAAGTCTAGCAATATATTGCTTGACTCAGAGTTCAGGGCGAGTATAGCAGATTTTGGGCTCGCCAAGATGTTGGCAAAGCCTGGGGAACTACAATCCATGTCTGTTCTAGCAGGTTCTTTTGGCTACATTCCACCAGGTAAATGTTGATGCCAACTACAGAACTTTTTTTATGTTCATACTTAACTCGGTTGATCCTCTGGTGAAGTAATCTAATTGTAGGCTTCACTTGCATTGCAGAATATGCATATTCAACAAAGATTAACGAGAAAGTTGATGTATATAGCTTTGGGGTTGTACTCCTAGAGCTTGTTACGGGAAGAGAGCCTAATAGTGGAGGCGAGCATGCCTGCAGCCTAGTTGATTGGGCATGGCAGCATTACAGTGAAGGGAAGTGCCTCACCGAAGCTTTTGATGAGGATATCAAAGAAACACGTTATGCGGAGGAGATGACTACCGTATTCAAATTAGGCCTCGTTTGCACTAGCTCTTTACCCTCAACTAGGCCTTCCATGCAGGAGATTTTGCAAGTTCTTCGTCAGTGTCATCCTCCAGGTTCTGCACGTAACAGAGTGGCAACTGAGTTTGATATCACTCCTCTTCTTGGTGATGCAATGTACATTTCTAGTTACAAGGATAGTAATGCTGCATGCGGAAATGAAGAAAGCAGCCTGTACAGTGTGTAACTGTAGGATTCCCCGCATAGAATAATTCGAAAGAGTGGTACAATATAATTACCACCGTCTTCTAATCAGATCATAAAAATATTTTACTGAAAATATGACAACGTACTGTTTCACTGGGCAAGTGATGCTCAAGTTTTGGATATGATTAGCAACATAATTTGTTTACTAGGTTATCCTCGTTATAGCTTTATTTAATCAATACGATTGGCAAGTGATCAGCGTAGCTCACAGTAAAATTATAGCTTCAGTATGTTTATCACCCATACTCCCAACACAAAATAAACACCACATTAAGGAGGTACGCACCAAAATATAGAAGAAAAACAATGTCAGAACAGACAGAAAGATACAATTTTTCACAAGATAGTGTTCACTAAATTGAAAAGACCGAAGAAACCCATGGCCAGAATGATCCTTCCCACCGGCTAAAGCTGCCAAAGCAAAGGTAGACATGGAAGACTACCTTACTATCTGCCGCAAAATATTTTTTGTTTTACCGTTTTCTCTACTAAACCACCTAGCCGAAATGGCTATTTAATTATACATTTACATAATTTATCAACCAAAGCAAACAAAAAAGTTCCCACTCCCTTAATATCCCAAGTATGTAAATATGTTAACGTTTTGAGACAATTCACAGCTGTGAAGATGAGATGAGCCCATGTTTCACCCACAACAGGATGTGACCACATTTTTAAGCATCTGCATCATGCTGTTCATCTATTTACACAAACGATCATCACAACGCCATCCCCAAAATCCCAATCTATTTCACTGCCATCATTGAATCAGCTCCTCACTATTCAAACATGGCCTCACTCCCAACTCACAGGATCTCAGCACAGCAACAGCCCCAATGTAGCATAAGGTAGCAGTGTGGGCAGCAACTTCAGTGATTCACCTCCCTCACATCATGCGATTCACCCCAAACTCATCCTCCTACAAAAGCCAAAATCAAAGAGGACAGTATAAAGACATTCTTATTCACACTGAAAGAGTGGACAAGCATTCTTTCACAAGCTTCTTGCAAAGATTCTGACCTAGCCCATCTTGAATTTATACAACATTCCTCAGTGTGATATCTGGCTATACACAATATGGAAAATAGAAAGAATAATAATAATTAGGAATCCAACAAAGCATTAAACAAAAAATTATAAAATGAAACAAAAGGAAGGTCTGGTCTCTGAGCCTCTCTATACACAAAACAAGTCAGGTTCTTAAGCAGTTACTGGAAACATAGCACGTATAGTGGTGCAGGACCTGCAACCACATGTTCACCAGTCAGAAAATTGTCTAAGAAATTCAATTACCATGGACATTGATAATCAAATTATCTTGAAACAAAAGGGGAAAATATCCGATGTAAAAATTGTTGGTCATAGTAAGAAGACCCAACAAGCCAGGAAGAGAATAGGGATAGACCATATTCTGATTTGATAAATATATATATTGTTATAACAAGCTATAACAAAGAACAAATAATTAAACTACTAAAAAAAAAAGTTACAAGATTATACTCTTATTTCTTCTGAAAACCCATGAAATGTAAAATTCTAGTAAAGCTATTAAAACACAGAATATTATTGTAAGATTAGATCTTTTTTACGGTGAAAACAGAGAGAGATTAGAATATTCAAAACCTTAAATTCTTCAGCCACGATATTTTGAAATACTCTATTTCCATGAAAACACCCACTCTTCAGAACTGATCTGGATCAGGAACACAAACATCACCCTGCAAAGACCCCTGACACTCACTACCTCCCAGACCTCCAGTTTTTTCACTGCTATCCACAACAGTTCTTAATCCAAAAGTCCTCAAATGAAGAAACTCACCTCGCAATTGAGGTTCTGAGTGCTGGCACTTGGTACATAATCTGAACATTCAGCCCTTGTTGTGAAATTACAAGCTTTGTCTCGTTGTTGATCCATATCAACAGCACCCTCTTTACAGTTTAGCAAGCTTTTAGCAGATGTAGTTTCTGTACTTTCCAAGCAATCTAAATCCAGATCCTGAGCTTTGTCCCCATTGACTCCATTCTGAAACGGATCACCAACTTCTAATTAAGGAACCTCACATGAACCAAACAACTTCACGAGGGAAGGATCCTCCACTGGTCCAGCAGGCTTACCTCATTCTGAACTTCTAAACTCCTTGATTTCAGCCTATCATGTGTGGAATCAACAACACCTGTCTCACTAGTCTGCATGTCAGCTCCTTCAGTACTTATTCCAATTCCTAGGAGTCCGTCAGATGACTTAATTTCACAATTGCTGTCAGCATCCTTGGTTGTTGAACCAACTAACTTAACCCCTTCGATACAATCAACACCCATTTGAGGTGTACCACCTGATCTACTAGTACAACTTTCAGGAGAAACACACTCTAGCCTCTGTGGGCTAATAGATGCCTGCTTCTCTGGTTTTCCTGGCTTCACATCCACCATTTCATGGTAATTTTTCCTCTTGATGCATCTTTCAGAAGACCCAGAGTGGCACTTTGAGGCATCATCACCCATTTTTTCAGCTGGATGGCTTATATGCCGTGGCATCCGATTGCGTTTGTAACCATCTGGAAAAACAAATGCAGGGAGCTGCTTTCGACGAACATGAGAAACGTATATTTCCATCCCTGGCTTCCAGTATACATACATATTTATTTCTTGTCTGAATTCATCAACTGTTCCACGTATATCAAATTGCTGCCCCTCTTGTCCTCTTACTCCCTCTCTTCTTTGCAAGCCCATGAAAAATGCAGAATGTGCACAAGGCTTGGATGTATCTGCATACTCATGTGGATAAGGATGACACTGCAGCATCCCATTTGTATCTCGCTCTATCTGCTCGAAAATAAATGAAAGCATGTGTTAATGTATAAGCAAAAAATTAAAAAAAAAAATTGCCAAAATGTTCAGATATTACATATTTTCAATGAATTAAAAAACAGACATGGACTATACCCTGTGGAGGAAAGTCTTGTCCCAGACTAAGATAAGATTGTACCTTTAGGGTAAGCTGTCTCAACCGAGATTCGACCCAACCCTTCCAAGCTAGTAAATCATCAGTGTCTGATGCAATTATGTCTACTTGTAAATAGTTTTTGTACGCCTCAAAAAAGACATATGGCTGAACAAGAGCACTCCACTGGGCTTTGTTAAGCTCAATTTCCTAACAGTAGTAGTATCAATCAAATATAGATAGTCACAAAATTAATAAAAAGTAAGGAAAATCGACTTATCTTACGTCACAAATCTTGTTCCCATAACGGAACTGTTCCATCATAACACGAAGAGTGCTCGCTGAGACGTTGTAGCTAGAATTCATGCAAGGGTATGCAGGAGTAATTATTGGCATTATGTGAAATCTGTCGCGGGGATTTCTACGAGGATCCCATACAGGGAAGCCCAATTCATTCTCTTCTATAGAGCATAGCATTACAGGGTTTGGCCACCGCCACTGAGTATAGACCCTGAAGAATCGAGAAACCAACATACTAGGGATTGCATTAGGGTAAAGCTGGCAAACTCGAGCAACTAAAAGAGCCCAGTTTACACCTCCAAGGAATCCAGTAACCTAAACAGACCAAAAGAAGGGAATGAAGAGAGAAACATAAATGCTACAGCCATTGGTAATGAAAAAATATAAAGGTTGCAGGTGTAGCTCTTACATTTGAATAAACACCACGCCTTTTAGCCCAAAACTTTAAGCATCTCAGTGTAGTTCGGAAGTGCTACCATTGTCAAGGGTTAACAGACTATCAAATTAATAAGACGAGGAACACTAAATCTAATATACCAATGAACCAAACTACAGAGCATATATATTAACCTCAACATTTGGAACAAGTTTAAGAATTTGATCTGCCACCCTGCAGCCATTAAGGCTTCGAACAGTTGGTTCATCAACATCATGCAGCACGGAACCGTGTGAGATATCTAGGTCCTGTGGATGAGGGTGTTTGAAACCATATCAAATTGAAGTTTAAAAGAAAACTAGATTCTAAGGGAGAAGAATGAGGAAGTACAAAGGGGAAGAAAAACCAAAGGAACATGTTTTTCTCTTAGAAAGTAGAAACAAACTAGAACGCAATAGGCAACATGAAATGGATACATAGTAACGAATACAATCCTGATTAACAACTTTTTCCACTATAATGTATCAAACTCAACAAACTGCATAAATAAATTTAGATCAACAATAAAAACATGCATTTAGCAAACTTAACTGTGCGAAATGAAGGCCGGCACACTAATTTAATACATAATTACCATTTACCGCACAATAAAAACAACTACTACTCCTTCCTACATCCTTCGTAATTCCTAAAATGTAAAATAGAAGGGGGCAAAAGGATATAGATTCTACACTTCAAATCAAACATGCCAAAAACAGAAAAGAAAGATAATTGACATAATGATAGCAATACATATATTGGACACATGACGAAGAACAGACATGGTTGCATTAAATTTCAAAAGCACTAGGGAACTCAACTTTATAAAGGAAGGTGTGCTTATGTTAGGGAAGCCCTCAAATTCTTAACCTAAGACAAATGTTTTCTTAATATAATTGTCACTCACGAAAATGAGCTCTCAGAACATATAAAGGCCCTGCTAGCTAAATAAGGTAACCAGACTTACTTCTGGGACAACCAAACGGGATATACTTGCATACAGCAAATCTATAGATATTCCCTGAAACTTGAATTTCATAACTGGAACATGTGCGTCAGGAACTGGTTGAAGTTCAGTAACTTCTTCCATTTCAGCCAGGATGTTATGCAAAATGATAAAGAAGTCTTCCTACAAAAGAGATATATATTGGAAAAAATATAACCAATGCCAAGGATTTTATTAAATTGAGTAAAAGTAGCCAGCTGCAGTTTGTCACCTCTCGATTCACATAAGAAGGGCCAATGCACAAAGTGTCAATGTCAACTCCTGGTCCATGCACCTGCAAATGATTGAGTTGTTGCTACATATACAAATACTTATAGAAAATAACATATCATGACTCATTTACTGTCTGCTATTATTTTAATTAGAATAGAACATCAGTTTTTTCCTACAAGAACATATTAGCCCAAAAGAACGGGGCATGGAAGGGAAGCAGCTGTTAATATTCATGCAGAATTAAAGAATAAGACATTTTATGATAAGATTGGAAGTGATATTCACTAGAAGTCATCACCTACCAGTTATTTGCTGACAGTGACTAAAACATGACTACTGTTACAAACAAACAACTGATATAATCAGACTTCAACACTGGGATACTCATCACAGCATATACCAAAAAACCATCAGGTATCGATTTCTTGAGAGGCAACTATAAACTCCCTTGAATGAAATTCTTTGCCATATGCAAGCACTAGAAATGAATCAGGAAAAGGTAACAGTGGCATACTCACCCCTAGTCGATAAGAACCAAAAGTGAAAATGATAGCGTTTGCATCCTCAACCATCTGATCTGTGTAGCCTCGTTGGCGGGTCAACTGCTTCACCCAGCTTTTGACAATCTACATTGCAGATTAACTTTGTCACTATAAAAATTAAATTTTGTGGATATCGAAACACTTCACTCACAACTAGAAAGGGTACCATCCCCAAGTCACTGTTCCATTGGGATTGAAGAACATAATGAATCCCGAAAAGACATCAATCTAGCAAAGTTCCAAAACATATTCTTCAAAATGTAATAATACAAAACAAATTTCACAAAGCTTCTTTGGGACTTGGAGAAATATTATTAGCATAAATAGGACAAGTGAAACCAAGAGATACCTCGGTAATTAATGCTTGAATTGAATAACAAACAGCAAAATCTGATTTTGATGGGGGAAAAAAAAAAGCAAGATCGAAATCGAAGTAGATTTGACCTGATCAAGACGTTGAAGAACCTCTTGTCTGGTTGCAGCTTCTTCATTGCTCTCATAAAGCCCGGAATCAAGCAAGAACTGAAGTAAACGAAAAATGAAATGGATTTTTTTTTAATTCAGGTGTGGTGGAATTAATGATGAGATAAATCAGTAATTAATTAATGAATTAATAAATAAATTACCTTCTCCAATTCGAGGTTACGATGAAAATCAGCATCGGTGGGACCGGCGAGAGAGATGGGCTTTGAGAAACCATCAAACTTGTTGGGTTGTTGTTGTTGTTGTTGTTGTTGTTGAGGTGGATGTGGCGGTGTAGAACCACCGTTTGGACTATCGGAACCCACCATTTCGACCTAGATTCCAACATACCAAATCCACTACCCAACCTCACTTTCCATCTTTCAATTCGTTGGCATCTGATTGCTCCACTTCACATATGCTCCGATTTGAAACAAGGAATGGGATGGATTTGGATTTGGATTTGGATTTGGATTTGGAGTTTGGAGTTTGGGTGGGTTAAGGTTAAGGTTAAGGGAGCGTTTGGGAATAATCGTTCATGTAACTCCAGAACCGATTTTTATTACACGGAGTGGACTTGCACGTTCGCGTTGGATCCACTCCGATCTTTCCACCTGTCTTCCTTTTCCATTTTTTTTAATTAATTTTCTCTCCCTCTCTTCAAATGCCTTATTTTTGTAAAAGAAAAAAAAAATGAAATAATAATTTTGTCTTCTTTTACTTTTAGGCTAGAAATATTCACTTTCACATGACTTATCCATTGTGTTGCTCCCTACCTCGTTCTTTTCTCGTTATCTGTCCTGTAATTATTTTTCTTAAAAAAAAAAAAAAAAAAAAACTTGAATGTGTACTCCCTGCAGTACTTATTTTTCGGTTTTTGTGATTTCTTCTTCAACTTCTTACGTTTTCTCAACCCAATGTTGTCCCTTGTTTTGTTTTTTCTTCAGCAAACCAAATAGTAACCAGTTTTTCTTTTCTTTTGTTCCCGTGCTCCTGGCTTGAACAAAAAATAAAATAAAATTCGCTTTAATGGTAAATAAAGTTACTTAATTAAATTGGAAGAATTGTTATTGCACTATAACGGGCATAATATTTAATATGAGTTGTTAATTATTTATTAAATATTATTTTTACAATAATTATTTAAGATACTGAATTCTTTTTTTGATAGACTAAGATACTAAATTTAACTAACATATATATATATATATATATATATATATATATAGGGATTTGTTTTTCTGATGTTACTTTAGATAACTTATCTAATGTTCATCAAAACGACGTCGTTTTGAAACGGAAATCATGTTATTTTTGTAATTTTAATTTATTTCAGGGTTATAATAGTCTTTATCACTCTAATTTTTTAATTTTTCAACCCCAAAACAACGTTGTTTCGATGAACATTAGATAAAGTTATCTAAAGTAATATCATAAACTTTTTTCCCTATATATATATGAAAAAAGTGTTTGTTCTTTTAAATGACACAACTTACATTCTTTCACTCTCACAAAGAGGTGGGATCCACATATTTATTTATTTTTTGTCCATTCTTTCTTCTCTTTTACATCATTTAAAATGACACACACTTTACCGTATATATATATATATATAATCTTGTTCGAGCTAAAACATTCCATCATAGGACTAATTCTCTCATATAAAAAATTTTATATTCATAAAAATTTAAATTCAAGACTTTACTTAAGCGAAATCAAGTATCTATCACTTGAACCAATCTTCTTTGATTTTATATATCTATATATAGACTTTGATCTTGGATTATAGAAATTTTTTAAAAAAGAAAAAAATGATTTTACTAAAATTAGGAGTGAAATGTACTTTTAATTTCATCTTGCATAGAGAGAACAAATAATGCTGATCTTACCAAAGGACAAGTACAAAATAAAGAGAATCATTAAATTTGTTGGTTAAAAATAAATAATTTTAGATAATTTTATAGATAATCCAAGGTATAAATTTTAATTTTATCCATTCGTGGTGAAACAAACGAAACGGATAAAAGCATCTTTTAAGCTTAGTGCCCTCCACAAGGAGTGAATCAGGTCAGTCATTACACTCTCTAGCTCAAAGGAAGAAAATATGCCATCTGATATTACAATTTACACGAGATCAATAAAACGACATGAAATAGGCACTCCTTCAATCAAATGAATTTCGGATGTAGACCTTGTTCTCGAGAATGGAATTAATCTAATTAAATAGATGAGGTTAAATGTCATATTATACTTCTCATTACACTGGTCCTCTTTTTGAAGGGCTCAAATTTAACTATAGAGCCATAGAGGCATGGAAGTAAAACACTATATGCACTGTGTTAGAGGTAGAGATGTCTAGTCTAATGGACTAGTAAATTGTTCTTGGATCTAGTGCAGTGGCAAATCCAAAAAATCATATGACGGAGGGCGAAAATTTATATTATTATTATGAAAAGGTAATGTCACTTTTGGTTGGATGATCATTGTAAGAATACAAAAATATCTATTAAGAAAAACCTAATAAAATTACATAGTTTTTTTTCAATTTTTTTGTTTCTGGTGACAGTTAGAGGTGTCAATATAGGTCATGACACGTGGGTCGACCCGCGACACGACACGAAAATTCGTGTTCGGGTTGACCCGTAAAAAAATCCGTGTCGTGTTGGGAAAAATGACACGTAAAAAATTCGTGTCGTGTTCGTGTTGAGGTATTCGTGTTCGTGTCGATCCATTTTTTTAAAAATTTTTTTTTTTTTAATTTTGAACCATTTTTTTAAAATTTTGTTGTCAATTACCGTTTTGACCCCTATTTTACGTGTTATTCGTGTCGTGTCGTGTCAACACGCAAAAAATCTGTGTCGTGTCAGTGTTGAAGATTTTGACACGAACAAAAATCCATGTCGTGTTCGTGTTGATGTATTTGTGTCATGTCAAATCTGTGTCGTGTCAAATTTGTGTCGTGTCAACCCGTTTTGACACCCCTAGTGATTGTGGTCCAATGCACCCTCTATTTCAATGAGAAACTAGCCTTAAGACCCTATATTTTGTTTGTAAGATCAATTTTTTATTGTTTACCTTCATGCCTTCTGGTGTTATAATTGCACTTTCTTTGATTTCTTTAGAAACTTATTTTCTCCCTTAGCTGTTATTTAGCAGAAGATACAGTAAATTAATTAATGTGTTATTTATTTTTAACATTTGGTCCCAACTAATAATTGATAATTATTACTGACCTTTTTTCTTTGTCAACAAAGTCAAAACTTAAATACTCTTCTCCTGAGTTCTAACATGACAATCTATACAAATTTTTAATGATTATAAAAAGAAAATTAGATAATCAATCAATATAAAATCAAATTCTAGACAAATTTGACAAGCAGAGTAAATAGGCATTACTAACTGAACTCTTCTTTGTATACAATGAAAAATTTAACTTTCCACATTGATTCGGGAGGGTAGCACACCAAGAACAAAAAACCTGCCATATATGCTGGCAGGTTGAATATGATAAATAATAGTTATCTCTAATTGGGTGCAATGAACAGATAGAACACTTTTTTTATGAATAGCATCGCTTGTCTTTCACTTTTTAAAAGCACTTTCAAAATTTTGCTTTTTTAGACCATGTTACATATCATATAGTACAACATATTTTCATATTTTAGAGGAGGACAGGGGGCCACCCTAACCCCCCATGTAGATCCGCCCCTGATCTGGTGCCCTCTCTAAAGTATTTACGGAGGAGATACTCTTGAGTCAAGTGGATCATTGTGCACATAAGAAGAATAACGGCTTTGCCAAATGGGGTGTGTGTGCGCGCACAGTGACAACATAACAGTAAGAGAGAGAGTACGTACCTGTAGGTTTTACCTCCTATTTATAGAGTTTACTTGTGGGAAATGGATTTTGGACCTTTAGTGCCTCTGAAGATGGTCTAGGCTCGTCTATTATGCTGTCGTATTAGGATTGATATCCTTGATGGATATAATTCCATAGTTATGTTTGATTTAGATCTTGGATTACCTTTTGTAAGAACCTGCACCGTTAATTAAGGAAATTAATTAATTAAATACGAAAATTAGGAAATAATTCCATAATTGACCCTAATAATTATTATGAGGCTTAAATAAATATAGTAAGTGATTAAGAATGTTGAAAGTCGCTTTTCGGAAGAAAAGTGCAGATACCGGTTCTGCTAGTCAGTATAAATACGTACCGATAAAGTATCCCGAAAATTTATAATAAGCGCATGAATATTCCTAGAATAATATGTAGGACTTTAAAACGAGTTTCAAGTTAAAATAATAAGAACTGGTGCCAGAATTGATACTGGCTAAGGAAAAGCGCGTACCGGAAAGGTACTCCGAAAAATAATATAAAAATATTTTAATTCTTGTAAAATTGAGTTGGTTAAGAATCCTGATTTTAGGATTAATATGCTAAGCGTAGCAATTAAAGTTAATACTGTGTGTTTGTGACTTAAACCACTATATATACATTATTTGCACAGTACCCTAGGTATCCTAACAGCCTCTACGTGACTTGTGGGGTGGCTGGTCAGTTTCTACTGTTTCATTGCCTCTTTTCCTCCCTCTTGTGAGCCAAATCAAGCACCTTTGGTGCAAGTTCTTCATCTAAACACTCAAGCATTGTAAGAGTGATCTTGGGGAGGTTGGGAGAGTGTCCTACTTGCTGCCTTTAGTCTCTGTGAGTGTGAGTAAGGACTGAGTTTCTGGTTTGGGTGAGAGAAACCTTTATCTTGGTTGTTGAAGCTCCAAGTGTCAACCTTTGGGTAGAAAGATCAAGTCTTGAGCACCATTTTCGTACACTTTGTGTGGTCTGAGTTGAGGAGCTGTTGGAGAGCTCCAAAGGGCACTTTCATACTCTGTTTTGAGCTTGTGGTATGATCATCACCCTTGAACTTGAGTTGTTATGCTTAAAAATGGAACCTTGATGCATGTAACAAGATAAGATGAAAACCTAACGTTGGGTAATGCTTAACACACTTAGAAATGCTTGTGTAAGCCTCTGTAATCGGTAAAAGTTGGACCTTTGGACTGGATTTTCGCGAAATACAGAATCTGGGTTCTGTCGCGAAATATCCGGATATTTGGTTGTGAATATCCGGATATTGATATCCGGATATGGCCAGTGAGATATGTGGATATTGATATCCGGATATTCCCCCGACATATATCCGGATATTCTGGGATTTCGAAGAACTGTAGCTACACTGTTCATGCAGTGGGTTATTGGAGGTTTGTGGACCCTAGATTGTTGAAGTTGAACTTCTGTTTTAATTGAACTATGTCAGAATCAAGTGATTAAGGGTTTAAGGCTTTGTATGAAGCCTTAAGACGTAAAACGTGAAAGAAAAGGCGTTGTCTTTTGTTGAATGCTTGTAGAGTATGATTATTGATATATTATTGGTCCATAACAGATTGTGATACTGCTATGTTTGGACTTTGAGATTGTGTGGACTCTTGGCTGGGATAGCTAGCTTGCAAGGTAAGC